CACTCCGCTATCACTCTGTCCCCAAAAGATAACATTTGAGATAAATTCCAGAGATAACATTCCTAATACTTTATAATTGTAGATCAAAGAAAAGTGAGGAATGAAAGAGTCAGGGTAATTCTGATTGCTTTTGGAATAATGTTGATATATGTACACTTGCATTCATTTGCAAAAATAATACTAAGAACATTTAAAGTTCTTATATTTTTACTAGATAAAGGAATATGTAATAAATTACTTAATTATTTGAAGAACTGATGGGAATATATGATAAATCACTTAGTTATTTGAAGAACTAATGATAGTGTCCATGTTGTCTCTCAGTCAAGCTGCTGAATTGATCGGGAGAAGAGTAAATAAAACTTGAAAAGGTTTTTATTTTTCTTTTTTTGTCTTTGATTTTTTTCTTTCAGCCTTGTTCGTTTGTGGTTGTATGATTTTCTTTTTTTATTGTTCTTTCCCCTCCCTCCTTTCCTTACCATAAAGGAAAAGTAGGTTTTTGTGAGAACACATTGGTTGTGGGCTCCTCACCATATCTTAAATGAACTATGTTTTCTGAAGAAAATGTTTTTCTTTAATTAGAAAAATAAATATTTGGGGCTGGATGGATAGCTCAGTGTGCTGAGTGCATGCTTTGCTGAAGGGAGCTGGAGTTTTGTACCCAGCACAACGAACATAGAGCTAGCACAGGAGGTAGGCCACTAGCCCCCACCCCCACCCCCCCCAACATTTTATTTTAAAACATCATTTCAAAGAGAACTGATTGGGTCAGATGTGGCTGTCAGACTTTTTTGTTTCCTATATGAGCATTTTGATTATAGTTTTAAGAATAGGTTTATGAAAATAGAACAATTGAAGGCCAGAGAAATAGTACACAGAATAAGGTGCTTGACAGACCGTGTTGTCCCCAGCATCATGTATGGTCCCCAAGCATCGCCAGGAGTAAACCCTGGCTAAGGAGCCAGGAGTAAACCTGAGCACCAACAGGTATCACCCAGCCCAGCCCCTCCCCTAAATAAAAAGAAATAAAGCTCTTTTATTATACTAAGATAGTAATGTAACAGCTTAGAGTTTAATTGCATTCTTAAGCATTTTAAATTATCAGCCAGTGTGCGGTCGTTGTTTTCTTTTTAATCAGCGTAGCTGTTCACTTTATACATGATTAAATCTCAGGTTCAGAAACTAAACTTACAAGCCTAGATACACACATGGCTAAAAAAAAATCCCCGACTTCTGATGTTGGTGACTACTTTTTTCTTTTTATTAAAATATAACTCAGAGGAATTTTCCCTCTATTTCGTTGTGTCTTTGGTTTTGTTTGAGCACTATATCCAGTGGTGCTCAGGATTTATTTCTGGCTTTGTGCTCAGGGCTCATTCCTGGCGGTGCTTTGAGACCATATGAAAGTGCTGGGATTGAACTCTGGTGTCAGCTGTGGGAGGCAAGTGCCCTGCCCTGCCCCCTGTGCTAGCTCTCTGGCCCTTAAACTTTTTTTTTTTTAGTGCTTAATAATCAGTAAAAGCAAAATCATTGGGGTCAGAGAGAGTACAGGAGTAAAAGGCAGCCCTGTGTGAAGTAGGGTATGCCCCCCGCAAAACTAAAAAAATTAAAAATGGGATTTCAAAGATAAGCTCTATAGCAAAGATATGTAAAATTGTGAGATCACACAGGGAAGGCAGCAGTAGGACATGGAGTCAATAAGGTGTCATTAAAAAGCATGTTCTGTTGGTTATTTTATCAGACAGGAAGAATAGATCAAAAAATAAACACAAGACAGTCCACATGCGATGTAGTAAGGGCCTAGTCTGTTAAAAACTGAAAGAAGGAATGAATTTGAGCACCTTTCCAGAAAGACATTCCCAGAACTGGGACTAAGAACCGAACATAAGGAGAGTGAGTGGGGTTTCGTCGTTCCTGGGTTTCATACCTGAAAGTCCAGGTATGACATTGGAGGGGAGTGTTGGGTGGGAAACGCGGACTTGATTTTGGAAGTGCCATAGTTGAGGTCTGTACAGAGCATTCAGGAAGATGGCCTGTGGAAGGTGTGTGACTCGCTGCCAATCTGTAGGTGGAAGCGAGCATTCTGGAGTGCAGCCAGGACTGGATACATAAGCAGAGGAATTATTTCTGGAGCGAGAACAATCAGTTTCCTGTCATTCTGCACTCGTTTTTTCTTAAGGAATCTTCCCTGTCTTACATGTGCATAGCTTCGGTGCACTTGAGGAAAGGTGAGAGAGCCAAGTATCCAGATGAGGTTGGGGGCCTTAAAACCGGGCCCGGAAGAGAGGGCACTTCAAGATTCAAGGAGCCCAGCCTTGGGCTTTACAGCTTGACTCTAGGAGAGCAAAGCCTTTTAGGAAAGCGCTTTGGGTTCTGTGAGAATTACATTCCCTCCGCGTGCTAAGTATACAGCCTTCCCCGTTTCCGAACAAGCTCATGATATAGGGCATATGATCCTTATGTTATGTCTGATCAGACTAAGGGCAAGATGACTAAACAATTCTGGAGCGCAGATGTGAGCCAGGGGGATTTAATGGCACAATTTGCTGTGTTTTCCAGGAAATCCTGTCAAATACACCCATTGGACTTTTTTGAGTCCTTTGCTTTTGTGTAACTAGCACAGGGCTTCATATCTTAAAAATGCAATGAATTGAATTTGACTGTGGGTACTCATTTGCTTACAATGAGAAATCGTTTATATGACAAGAGGTGAAAGTTGGATCCTAGAATATACTTCCACCCAGGTGTGCAGACTCCTGAAATGCTCACAGATACCAGCATTTGTTTATTTTACTGTGTTGAGTATGTGGAACTCTATTTACAAAGATGAATTGAGAGTCCTAAGACATCTAGAGGAAGAGACACTAAAACATAAGTAAACATCCATATGCTAATGCATTCTTGCTTTTTGTTTTTGTTTGGGGTTCAAATCCAGCTGTGCTCCAGGTTTTTGGCTGTTCCAGTTATCATTCCTGACAGTGCTCAGGAGTCATGTGGGGTACTGGGGATCGAAACCAAGTTATCTGCATGCAAGATAAGCAAGCACCTGAACCCCTGCACTATCTCTGAAGCCCCAGACACATATTTCGAATTAGCTCAAATTGTCATTTTTTATGACATCAGCAGAATCACAGTATAACCCTAATAATGCCTTATTTTAGCAGGGACAAACCAAGTCTATGTGTTCTAGTATACAAAATCTAATTTGTACCATGAAACATGCTCAAAGTTTGAAGCCTGACTAGAAATAAAAGTACACTGACTTCTCCATCTTCCGTTCACTTGTGTATGTATTTGTTTTCAGCAAACTGGAAGAAGTAGCATTTCAGTAACCCATAAGATACAACTAAATACCGAAGCAGTGTGATTCCTCTTCTGTGTTCTCTTTCTGCAGTATGTCATATTTCTGCAGTATTCTGCATATGCGAGGTTTTTCTTTATTAAAAACATTTCTCGGTTTGCTTGGGGTTTATTTGTTTTGGGTTTTGGTTTTGGTTTTTTGTTTTGTTTTGTTTTGGTTATCTTAATATCAGCCCAAATCCAGTGAACCCTAAAAGAACACCTAAAAGTGCTGAATATTGAACCTTAGCTATTCTTGTGCAGGTGGATTAGGATTACTTTGTTGCCATGAAGTGGTCATACACGTTGTGCTTGAATATTGTTCTTTGTTCCTTGGAGAAAGGCTGTAAGAATGTGGAAATTCCTCCTTTTTGTTACTCTGGCAGTTGTGTTTCTGTCCAGTTCCTGGCTGCCCCCGTGACGGGCTTACTACCTCTTCTCGAAAATAGCAGTTTAAATTCTGCTTGTTTACCAAAAGGGAGATTCCAGACAGATGAGAAAACAGCTTTTAAACACTGAACGACAGGCAGTATTTGACAAGTATCCCCGCGCTGAGGGTGCACTTCTCTGGAGGTGCAGTCTAATGAACTGCTTAAGATGCGGTGTGTGCCTGTGGAGTGTGTGCAGGCAAAGGCGCTTTCTCTCCCCTCCCCCTTCTTCCTTTTCCCAAGCCCCCTCTTCTCCCCGATTCCCCTCCTACTCCTTTATCTCCTCCCTCTGTGTCTCAGTTCTGCAGTAAACTGGCAGAGGCACATTCCTGCATCGCAAGGCTTTCTGTTAAGGATGCCTTGTGGCTTTTGCTTGGATTCCAGCCTGCAGAACTACAGGTAACCCTCTGAAATTGAGCTAGATAGATCAGTTCTTTCCAAGTGTTTTTAAGGAGGAAAAAAAAAATTAGGATAAGCAAAATTTTTTTAAAATGTTGATTTTATTTTAATAGTGATAATTAGAAGCGTTTCAGGAATGCTATAAGCAGCTTCTCTTTCTCCCCCGAGAATGCTCCGATGGAAGAAGCAGGGCTCGATGGATGTGGCTACAATAGGGTCTGTTTTCTGTCGACCACGAGCGCGCAGTGTTGTTGCCGCCGTGTCTCTGTAGAGCCAGGGCCAGTTCCGTGGGGTCTCCGTGGATGCTGGTCTGGGGCGGGGTGGGATGGAGCGGGAAGGATAATGCCAGCCTGAGCTAGAAAGGTTCTTGGATGCGGTTGTCGGATGCGAAATGTAAAAATGCCTCTCTCCTTTTCTTCTATCAGCTGTTCAGAGGAGACTCATTGCCGCTCCTGCTGAAGCTCCTAATCTTCCTCCCTTCTCCTCTGCCCCTTCCCCTTCCCCTCACTGGCCTGAAGACATGGTACCCCGACTTTGCCTTCCTCCCCCGATACTATGCCTATGGTAAACCGGGGACTTGGGCTGCATCTGGCACTAGCCAGACAACTGCTGCTGGCTCTCCCTGTTCCAGGAAGGATTTAAAGGGGAATTGTCCTGCAGGCAATGCACCAGAGCAGCAGCAGCAGCGGCGGCGGCGGCGGGAGCCCAGGGACTCAGACTCCTTGGGCCGTATTGCACACACAAAGCTGACCGCAATGACAGCAGCCTTCCTTTGCACGGTTGGCAGCAGCCGGGCGGCAGCATGAAGTAAGCGAGATCGCTCCCGAGCTCAACATGAACTCCACCTGGGATGGTAATCAGAGCAGCCGCCCCTTTTGCCTCTTGACCTTTGGCTATTTGGAAACTGTCGATTTTTGCCTCTTGGAAGTGCTGATCATTGTCTTTTTGACGGTATTGATTATTTCCGGCAACATCATTGTGATTTTTGTCTTCCACTGCGCACCTTTGTTGAATCACCATACCACCAGTTATTTTATCCAGACAATGGCCTACGCCGACCTCTTGGTTGGGGTAAGCTGTCTGGTCCCTTCTTTATCACTCCTCCACTATCCCCTTCCGGTCGAGGAGTCTTTGACTTGTCAAGCGTTTGGCTTCGTAGTCTCAGTTCTGAAGAGTGTCTCTATGGCGTCCCTGGCCTGTATCAGCATTGATAGATACATTGCCATCACTAAGCCTCTAACCTATAACACCCTGGTGACCCCCTGGAGACTCCGCCTGTGCATTTTCCTGATTTGGCTGTACTCCACCCTGGTCTTCCTGCCTTCTTTCTTCCACTGGGGCAAACCTGGATATCATGGAGATGTGTTTCAGTGGTGTGCAGAGTCCTGGCCCACCGACCCCTACTTCACCCTGTTCATCGTGATGATGTTATATGCCCCGGCCGCCCTCGTTGTGTGCTTCACCTATTTCAACATCTTCCGCATCTGTCAGCAGCACACAAAGGAGATCAGTGAGAGGAAAGCCCGCTTCACCATCCAGAGTGGGGAGACTGGGGAGGTGCAGGCCTGCTCTGACAAGCGCTATGCCATGGTCCTGTTCCGAATTACTAGTGTCTTTTACATCCTCTGGTTGCCGTACATCATCTACTTCCTGTTGGAGAGCTCCACGGGCCTCAGCAACCGCTTTGCCTCCTTCTTTACCACCTGGCTTGCTATCAGTAACAGTTTCTGCAACTGTGTCATCTACAGCCTTTCCAACAGTGTTTTCCGCAGGGGGCTGAAACGCGTCTCTGGGGCCATGTGCACTTCCTGTGCAAATCAGACGGTAGCCAGGGACCCTTACACTGTCAGGAGCAAAGGGCCCCTTAACGGAGGCCAGGTCTGATGTGGTTTAGATCGCGTGTGTGTGTGTGTGTGTTTCGCTTTGGTCTCTTTTTTGTTTTTAATCTCTCTGTGTTCCTAATTCGCTAAGAAATCTGGGACAAAATTATTTCAGTCTAAGCAATAGCAAAACAAATACCAACCAGATACCTTTTCAGCCCTCAGAAATAATTTTCTTAAAAGTGCTTTTCAGTCAGAAGAATCGGGACCATAAAGATAAAATAGCTCTTGGTTCCAGTTCTCATAATGTCATTGAAATGACTGCAGTTCTCAGATTTAGAATGAATAAAGCCATATCCTAACACCTCTCTCCAGAGAGGCGTGATTGAACCAGCCATGTGAAAATTGTCAGCGTTCTCAAAAGCCCCCATTTCCGTCTCTTGCTTTTCTGGGTTCTTACCAGTCATATGGGCTTCCTGAGCAGTTGATTTGTTTTAACAGTACTCTGATGAATTTAGCAGGGTTTTAAAGTTTTGTTTATTGCCATATTTGTTATCTGTCAAATCTGTTGTATGTAGAGTTGATTTAAAAGGGAATATTCAGATTTGGTGATGGATTTAACAGGGTTTTCAAATTTATTGCCAAATTTCTTGTCTGCCAATTTCTTTGCATGTACAATTGACTTAAAAGGAAATACTCAGATTTGGTGATGGATTTAATAGGGTTTTTAAATTTTACTGTCAAATTTGTTGTATGCCAAAGTATAACTATACAGCAAATTTCAACACTGTCATTTAGAAAGCCAAATGTGTCTATCTTGAGAGCCTTCTCAGTCCCTGAATAACACCAGTACTTGCATAGTGATCTTGGAAATTTACAGTGAACCAAAAGCACAAATATTATAAATTCAGAAAAACCTGAGCTACTTGTTCTGCTGTGCTTCAGTAGAAATTGAAAGAAGTGTTGGCCTCCAAAGTGGTGTGAGGCCAGGAAGAAGTCTCAGGAGGCAGAGCACATTCTTATAATGTGTAAAGCCCCGCCGTTTGATGCCCAGAGCTGCTTACTCTCCTCTCCAGCGGCTCTGAGAGGGGGCCCCACAATAATAGTGACAAAATAAAAGTGATCGTGTTGCAGTATTTTTGCCCTGGCTATTGTGTATGTGCGTTTCAGTTAGATTTATCCTGTACCTCAAAATGTGTTTTAATAAGCAAAAAATCTTAAATGATAGGGTAATGGGCTCTATTTTTTATAATGGTAAAAATACATAAAAATACATCATTATTCTATTTAAGATACTGGACAGTCAGTGAGAAAGGTGTCCTAATTAAGTCAGAAAAAAATGCTGTATTGGTAAACCTTTTATTTTAAATAGGAGAAAATTAATTGAGATAGTCTCTTTGTGGTTGAACGGAATTAGCTGACAAAGTTGCAACTCATTCTTTTAAAATATTCTTTTAGTTACTGTTAAGACACGTTTACCTCTTTTGTTCTTTTTCTGGAAAAAGTTCTGTGAGATACCATTCTTCCTAGTCTTCTAAATCAAAGTGCTGATTTAATCTATAGGATTTTGTATTTGTTAATATAGAATCATTGGGAGTGCTATCGTTGTACATAGTAGTGATAGTTATTCTTAAAAGTGCTTATCTTTAGATGAAGAGGTTTTATTTTTCTAAAAGCAGAGAAGATCTTCCCACAGCTCTAGAAATGAGGATATTTCCTCTCCTTTCCTATTAGATAATGTTTAGGAAGTCTTCAGGGGACTTACTTGTTATCTGCTTTTAGCTGTTTGTTGTAATCTGAATGTAGCAGAAGTGTTTAGTGAGTGGAAGATAGAAGAAATCCGAGACAGTGGGTTCAAGTGGACTTTTTTTAATCCAAAAGAAAGGACACAGGTATTCATGAAACAGGTAGTAATGCATCGGTTCTCCATCATGTGATTTGAAAACCTCCTTCTCCATTTTATTATAGGACAACACTCTTATAATTTCAGATTTTAGATACTGACTTGATTTAATATCAAATGTGTTTTATTTTTTGAACTGTTATATAAATACTTAAACTTCAGATTAAGTTCTTTGCCATAACTTGTTTTTTTTTCTATTCAGTATTAAAACACTTTATTCTGAATTGCTTCTAAATTCAGAATTTGTTGAAATATAAGCAACATTACTAATGACTTTGTTAAATTGTCATGTCCAGTAGACAACCTTTTCTGTTGGACTTGGTTAAAAAATTGTATTTCCCCATTAATTTTGTCTCACATCTGAAGAAAAAATCCAGATGTCATTTTTTATGTAAATGTTGGTAAAGGTAACTCAAAGCTGTAGTTCGCTTGTGAATTTTCAGTTCAGTGGTATCAGAATTTTGAGCCTTTAGGTTTTATTTTGGTGATGGAGAAAATGAGCATTTTTAATATTTTCCCCAGAAGTAAAGGAATATGGAAAAAAATGTATAGTTTTCTGGGAATGGTTGATCAAGCATACTCACTGGCAGGTAACAACTGGGGTTTTGTTCTTAGTTTGTTTTTTGTGTGTGTTTTGTGTGTGTGTGTGTGCGGTTTTGTTTTGTCTTGGTTTTGGGGTGACGCCCGGCAGCTCTAAGAGCTCACTCCTGGCTCTGCACTTTGGGGATCACTCCTGGCAGGGGCAGAGGGACCATAAGTGGTACTGGAAATTGAACCCAGGTCAGCTGCATCCCAGGCAAGCACCCTACCCACTGTACTTACACCTCTGACCCAAGACTAAAACTCTTACTAGGAATTTGTTAATAGACTTTGATGTTTTTATCCTGATACCAAACTTAGGTATTATTCAAGGTATTTTTGTTTGAAGGGTCACAACTGGCGGTGCTCAGGGCTTACTCATGGTTCTGTGCTCAGGGATCGCTCCTGGCAGTACTCAGGGGATAATATGTGGTACCGGGAATCAAATCAGGGTTGACCACATGCAAGGCAAGCACCTTAACCCCCTGTACTATCTCTGTGACCCAATTAGAGGTTGTTGGGATTTTGTTTTTGTTTTTTTGTTGTTTTTTTTTTTTCACTAGAATTTCTGTGTTTCAGTCTAAAACTGTGGTAGGTATACAGATAGATATCTATCTCGATATCTATCTTGATATATATAGATAAGAGATAGACATATTGTTTCCTCCAGGCATCAGTTCTTTTCTCATACTAGCTGTCTATAATGCTTCTTGTATTTCCCTGTGTGCGTGCGTTTTGGATGCAGTCATACAGTCTTAAGTAACTGGGGGTGGTTTCTATATATTTGGAGGGCTTGTATTTAAGTAACCTTTTCATCCTGGCATGTTTAATGCAATGTTTGATGACGTTTGGATTAAATACCAATGTGACTAGTTCAGAATGAGAAAAAAGTATATTTTTAGATGCAATTACCTTGGCCTTTGGCAAGACAGCACATTTCACTTTATATGGTGTGTATGACTGATATCAGAAAATGCATAAGCTTTTAAAGATTGTATTGAAATTATTTAATAGTAGATGTAAAACTAAGACTACTAATTATTGTATTTATAAATTGTGTGTTCTGTGCAGTGATTTCAGTAGTGTTTATTTTTTGTCTTGGTTTGGGGCTAACCCTGGCAGTGGTCAGGCGACCGTTCCCTGCCACTAGCCAGACCCGGGCCCCGCGCATGTGTGCACTGCAGCTCACTGAGCTCTATCTCTCTGGCCCAATAAAGTCGTTACGAAGGACAACTTCAACGTTTTCAGTCCACCAGGATAGAGACTCTTCCGCCACAGATGCTGGGGGTGTAACCTAGGGCCTCACATATGTAACGTAAGCTCTACCTCTGAGCTCCACCCTAGTCAGAATACATCATGAATTTTTCAAAAACCTACCAATTCTTACCCAAAATTCCACTTCTCTTTTTTATTCTATGGGGGTGGGGGGGTACTGTTGTGCCAGGGATTGAACCCAGGGCCACATACTTAAGAGGTATGGGGTGCTACCCCCATGCCTCAACTCTGACCCCTAAATTCTATTTGCGAAAGATTTTTCTTTAAGCATTACCGCTGGTTAGGTTCCATTGTGATCCTTTTATAGAGGCTTTTCCTTTTTACTTGATCTCAGTGTTTGAAGGTTTGGAAAAACTTGAATTTTGTAACAATAAATGCATTGTCCACCTCTTTGAACTTGAAAATGAAGCAAGAACGTTACAGGCTCCCAGACTGCTGGGTGGTTTCTGAGAGTTTGGCTTTAAAATAATAATTGTGTAGTGGCTTTCTGGGAAATGTTTTAATTTCACTGAGTGTATGATTTTTGTTTTTGTTTTTTATCATAAAACATTTGTGAAATAAATTGTTGGCAAACCAGAATTCATTGTTCATGTGAGTCAGTGCAAAGAAGATTAAGGATAAGAGAACTGTGACCACTGAGATTATTTTTTGTTTTCATTAATCTGTGTGTTGATTTTTATTTAATTTTTTCAAGTTGAAGAAAAACATACATAGTACTAACATACTTTGCCGACCCTGGGAATATTCTAAATATTCTAATACTGTCAATGAGTTTTTTGGTTCAAAATTCAGATACAAAAGGTAATCAGGATTAGATTAAAATAATCTTTGAACTGAGAATTTAGAAATTCAAAGGATTCTATTGCTAATTAATTTGGGGAGAGCAAGTCATTTTTGTAAATATTTAGTTTTATATACAAGTAAATAATAATCTTTTCCTCCCTTAGACCATTACGTTGAGGGTTCAGTTACATGGTGAAGATTTCTTTTCCATTAACTTTGTTTTTGCAGGGAAGGCCTCCTCGGTGGAGCTCATGGGCCCCAGGACTACTTCTGTAGTAGTTTGTTCCCCAAGCTTACATTTCAGAGCTAGGTTCCTGGGGTGCAATGCTGGTGGTCGGGGCCTCTGGGCCTACCTAGATATCCCGGATACTCAGGAGATCACATGGTACCCAGTATTGACCCCTAGTCAGCCACCACCCTAAACCTCTTTTCTCTCTCTCTCTCTCTCTCTCTCTCTCTTTTCCTGATCTCTTTTACTAACATTTTGTTTTGGGGGGTGGAGCACACCTGGCTCTGCTCAAGGCTTACTTCTAACTGCGCTTAGAGATCAT